ATTATTTGGTGGATATGTTAGCCCACAAGCAAACGAAAAACTCCAACAATATAGTCCCCCACTCACTCAATCAATCACTCATCTAATCGTTCATTCAATCAATCGATTGATCAATCAATCAATCGATCAATCAACCAATTAATCAATCGATCAATCAACCAATTAATCAATCGATCAATCAATCAATCGATCAATCAATCAATCGATCAATCAATCAATCAATCAATCGATCGATCGATCGATCAATCAATCAATCAATCAATCAATCAATCAATCAATCAATCAATCAATCAATCAACCAGTTTAAGAACTTGGCGGAGTTTAAGATCCTCTTCCACAGACAACAATCGCAAACTTTGGACGTTGCAGATGACGGCGTTGAGAGGACGTGGGATACCAAGTATGTGCGGTGACGTCATCGTGATGTTGACTAGACGTCACAATGGTCATGATGATGATGATGATGAAGATGATGATGGTGATGATGATGATGATGGCGATGATGATGATGATGGTGATGATGATGGTGATGATGGAAGTTCATTTGTAACGTTATTCAAGATTTTTTATTATTTCGTTACAATTACCAATTACACATTTAACACCTCATCATCATCATCACAACCAACACCACAATCATCACCACCACCATCGCTAACAGAGTCTTCACAGTGAAAGAGTTTGACGAGCCCGATCAGAAGCTGGACGAGCAACTGCCGGCTGGGGGCCTGGAGGATGGGCTGAAGATCTGGGTGGGAAAGGATTACTGCAACTTCATCTGCAAGGACTTCGTACAACTCGATAAGCCATTTGCTGGTTGGTTGGTCGGTCGGTTGGTTGGTTGGTTGGTTGGTTGGTTGGTTGGTCGGTTGGTTGGTTGGTTAGTCGGTTGGTTGGTTGTTTGGTTGTTTGGTTGGTTGGTTGGTTGGCTGATTAATTTGTTGTTGTGGTGGTTGTTAGTGGACTCAATAGCTGACTCTGACTGACCGACTGACTGACCAACAGGCTGAATGATTGATTGACTGACCGACTGATTGATTGATTGAAATGGATGACAGATTTGATTGACAGACGAAGAACGCCCCGCCTACCCTGGCACGATGTCGGGGCAGTTGTGTTCGGGAAGGCTGCCAGAGACGTGGCCAGACATTTTATACAGAGATGGAATTTTACCAAGGTTTGTTGTGATTGGTCGGTTGATAATTGATTGACTGATTGATTGATTGATTCATTCATTCATTGATTCATTCATCTATTTATTCATTCAGTTGCAAAAAGCCAAAGCAAATTCCGGTATGCCGTTCATAATCCCACGATCCAACGAACACATCTCCATCCCTAAATGGGTTACTAAAAACGCTTTCTGCTGTAACTGCCAGGTTGGTTGATTGATTGATTGGTTGATTGATTGATTGATTGATTGATTGATTGATTGATTGATTGAAATAGATACTGAGAAGTTCAGCAGCATGGTCTGCTGGCATCGAGATACCGGAATACTCAATACACACGGCTTATACTGACCTTATTGTCAGTGCCCAGCATTATATCTATATAGAGGTCGGTTGATTGGTGGATAGAGAAACTTGATTGGTTGATAGAGTTACTTGATTGGTTGATAGAGTTACTTGATTGGTTGATAGAGTTACTTGATTGGTTGATAGAGTTACTTGATTGGTTGATAGAGTTACTTGATTGGTTGATAGAGTTACTTGATTGGTTGCTTGGTTAAGTGGCTGGTTGATTTGTTGATTGATTAATTGAGTTTGTTTAATTACTTATATTTTCGTATTAGTTAAATTACAATGGTAGGTCAATGTTTTAATGCTTGTTTGCAATCAATCAACCAACCAACCAACCAATCAATCAATCAATCAATTAACCAACACCAACAGAACCAGTTCTTCATCAGCATAGCAGACGACAGAACAGTTGTCAATCAGATATCAGCTGCTATCTATGAAAAAATTTTGGCTGCCCATAGGTTTTTTTTTTCAATAAAATTTCTTTTTTATTTACAATTTTGAATTATTTCATTATTACTTTCAATATTTATTTAAGTTATTTATAATATGAAATAATAATTTTTCCTAAAAAAAAATCAGAGCACAAAAAAAATTTAAAGTTTACGTCGTCTTGCCTCTGCTACCAGCTTTCGAAGGACAACTTGGCACGCCAACTGGTCAGATATAATTACGTCATAATTACGTCATAATTACTTCATAATAAATAATTATAATTATCGTTCTTATTTTTCTAATTTATTTGAAAAGTATATAGCTGATTGTAACTAAATGAATGTTTGAATCACTCAATCAATCAATCATTAATTAATAAATTAATTAATTAGTTATTTAGTTAATTAATTAATTGTATAATTAAAGTTCTTAAAGAATGATAGAAAGGTGAAATTTCTTCTTTTTCAAACTCTATAGGCAGCTCCATTCAGGCCATCATACATTGGAATTATGCCTCCATATGTAGGGGTAATGGAAACTCT